GATGAGAAAACCAAACAAAGGAGAGATAAATTAGTTGCCCCAAATATACAAGTGAAAAGCAATAGGCCTGCCTGTGATCCAAACCAAGATTTGACTGTTTCTCAAAGGCTACACAGCTTAGGTTCACACCCATATGCATAAACACTAAGGAATGTTCATGCTCACAATTCTTTCACACTCTCACAAGTTCCTACACACATGGGCAGCCCCCTCCCACATATACACACACAAGCAGGCCTGCACTCTCCCACGCTTGGGGCCTGTCAGCCACATTCTCCATGGCTCCCTCCCTCCAACAGGGACAAGGGCAGGCAGGGAGTCCACATTCCCAGGTTTCCGCCCTGACCCTGACCCCCCCTTCCCACTCAGAGCACACATTCCTCCTGCTGCCGCCAGATAACCAGCCCCAGGGGGAGGGCCTGGGGAAGAACAAGGCATTCTGGGGGACAGGCTGCAGGCCCTACTCTGGGATGCCTAAACCCCAGCCCTCCCACCTGGGTCTGGCATGGAAGAAGTCAGGAGCTTTCCCGGTAGGTAGTCCCCACCCCTCTAGCCATCATAGATCCAGGGCTTCTCTCTTCATTCCAAGGACTTTCTCAGGTCCAGAGTTTCACACTCCAGAAAGGGCCCCCAGGCGTCTCCCAACTCACCTTTGGATGCAAAATCCCTCACATAATTAGGAACTAGAGCAGGACCTAGGGAGCCCACAGGGTCTCCCTTTCTTAGTCTCTCACCAGGTAAAAGCCTGGGTTCCAGGCACAAACAGCCCCTAGGCAGCTTTCCCCATCTGGGGGTTGTGGTGGTGAATTCGCACAGCTCTGCCTTGCAGCCACTTGGGGGCTCAGCAAATCTGGAGATATTTGCATACCCAGATGGCCAAGCCTGGAATTTCAAAGAATTCCCCAAGAAGAGGCAGCTGGCTTCAGGGTAGTGGCCCTGGAGGCTCACAGCTGTTGGGCTGTAAGACTGGGGAACCCTGAGCCCCCAAACAAAAGACAGATTGGGCACAAGAAAATTTCCCAGGCCTTATCACGAGTCCCTAGCTCTTTCCTTCGGTCTCCAGGCTCCTTTCTATTCCTCAGTATGAAAGGCCATGTCTTGGTTGCCCAGAATAGCTGGGCATGCAAATGAGACTGGGCTAGTTGGCCAGGGTCACAGGGACTGCCTGTCTGGGGAAAGGCAACTGTGGGCTTCAGGCAGAGAGCAGCTGCCAGAAATATGAGATCCCCTTGTTCACACGAAGCAATGGACAGGTCTGTGCCCCTGTGCAACCTGCAGTCAGGTGGGTAAAGGGCCTGGCCTGGGCCCTACTAACCTGTCCACATACAGCGATATGGCTACTATACCAATAGGGAGGGGAGAGGGGAGCTGGCCAACTGACACTTCTGGCAGGCAGTGGGCTAGAATACTGACCTGTTCCCTCAAAGTGATTAAGACTATGATGGAGTTAGGCACTGGCCCATCCAGTTCTGGACAAACTGTAAACAATGCCAAGCCTAACCAAGCTTCCCTACCCCAACAAAAGCCCCTCTCAGTTTCTGTCCAAGCGATTTATACTGACCACGCACCTCACAGTTGTTGCAGCTGTGGGTCACCATTGCCCTCTGCTGGCCACTCAGACACTAGCATCCACTGAGACACCAACCAGCTCACTCCCTACCCCAAGCAAATGCACTTCAGTCACCTCCTTCTGTGGGCACAGAAACTGAAACCCATTCTGTCACCTCAAGTCAAGGAGTGGCAGGGGACAGCAGAGACAAACTCAGGGATACAGTGTGTTAGAGGAGAAATCAAAGGAATTCTGCTGCCCTCCCCCAAATGTACATCTGAAGCTTCTGAAGTGTCCTTTCTGTGAAGCTTAGAGGTTGAACCCTTTCTCATGGAAGCAGTACCTGCCCAATAACTTGTTACACAGCGCTAGAACCTCCTCTCACCCCTTCTTACGCCTTCTTTCTCCTCCAAAGGAGGGCCAGGCTGAGATGACCTGGAGCCATCCTTCCAAAAAGCTCAACTTTTCTGGCAGGTCTGAGTCTTGGCTTCCCCGTTTCCTTCTGTCACACTGTAGGAGGCAACTTAAGTCCTGAGCACCCTCTGAAACAAAGCCAGCTCCCCTCAACTCTTGGTGCAACACCATGCAAGCAGCCATACCTTTCAAAGATGGCACTGGTGCTGACTGGAGGTGGCGCAAACTGCCCAGAAGGACCTAGCCAGTAATGCCCCTTAATTAGGTGGAAGCTCCAGGCACCTCTACAGTCAGGTAGGTAGCTCAGCTTTCGCCAATTACCTTTTAAGCAAAGAACATCTCTTTCACCTGAGACAGTACTGGCTCTGGAGCCCAAATGTCAGATTGTATTTGTGAGTTTTTAGAAACCTCCAACTCGAGGGCCTAAAAAGGGGCTTTAGAGCTTCCAAAGCTACAAAACTTCAAAACTGGCAATTTGGTTCTGAGGTCAGCAAAACTAAACCCCTTCCCACTCACTCACATTCTCTAGGGGCTCTACAATTTAGCGCAGGCAAATACCCTTTAAGAGTCAAGATTTTTTAAGTACTTGTGAAAAAATTCAAATAAAGAACAAGATGCTCAGGGCAAGGAGAGGTACCTGGAAAAATTAAAACTGTCACCTCTCATATCATCAGAATTCTACAAAGGTGCACAGCACACTCACTAAAGCTGGTACTGCTCTTCCCTGGACTGTGGTCACCAGAGGCCCAACCTGGGTGCGCAGTGTCTTCTTCCTGGCCTTTCCAAACGTGACCAACCGTTTGCTTTCAGAGTGCCCTGTAGGGCAAATAGAACGCCAGCCCTGGAAATTGCCCTTCTGCCAGTTAACAACTTGCAAATACCCCACTCCGTCAAAAAATACCAAGCTACTGTTTTAGTGCTAAGACATTCACATAGTTCTGTTTCTGCTGAGAGACAGATTACAGTATGTCTGCTCCGGTACAGCTCTGAAAATAATTCAATGATAAAAAGTGACCAGTGGTCACAAAAATGTCTGCCTCTGCCTCAACCAGCCTAGGAGCAGTCACTGAGAAAGGGCAAAGCTGGGTGGTGATTATGTTGCACATTCATGCACTGAGGCCAAAGGCATTAAATGCTTTAGTCAGTTTCAACCTTTGAGCTTTCTCAAACTAATATAAACTATGGCAACAGTGGAAGAATGTATTTGTTTCATGAATATTAACCCTAACAAAGTGACCCCACAGCCAGTTTTCATATTTCTAAACCCATCCTAGGAAATGGCCTAGAAATATCGAGGGGCTTCAGTATCAACCACTTGTACCAGCCTGAGCTAAGTAAGGTTAGGAAAAGGCTTTTAAGGAAGACTGTTGTAAGGTACAGAGAACTCAGAGCCACTTTTCATCTAAGTGTATGCACAACATAAGGAAAAATTAAATAGGGAACAGGCTGCAGGAGTGTCCTAAAGGAATTTTATTTTCTCTTCTTGGATGTATGTGAATGTATACTCTGAGAGTTTGCTACCTTCAGTTATTTTATTAAAAATCTGCTTTGTCTTGTATAACATCACACTCACCAAAATAACCCATCACTTGAAATAGTGTTTCACAACAGGAATCAAAGGAGTCAGGTCCTTAACACTGGTGACAATTTTCTGCAGGGATGATAAAGATGCTTATTCCTGAGTAGGAAGGAAGGAAAGATGTTCCTAACTCAGAAGACTCAGGAACTAAAGAAAGTTCTATTAAAACCTAGCCACTGGAGACAGACAGTGACTGCAATGGGGTATGGGCAGGGGGACTTGATAATAAGGGTGAATGTAATAACCACATTGTTTTTCTTGTGAAACCTTCATAAGAGTGTGTATCAATGATACCTTAATAAAAAAAATTTAAAAAAGAACCTAGTCACTGGGTGTTAAGTGGTATCGTACAGCAGACAGAGAGAAGCCAGTTTCTCCTAATTTTAAACAAGGGACAGTTCATATGCATTCCAACTATAATTTAGAAATACACTTTTTTCCCCCCAACAACCTACCTATGGTTCAAAATAACTTGTTGAGACAAAGAGAAGTGATTCAGAAAACAGAATATTACAGTAGTTGGGAGTGTAAAGGAATGCCTCTGATGTTAAGTCAGAGCAGAGAACGCAGGTCTGTATGACCACCACCACATCCTTCTCTCTCTATAGGCCCCCCTACTGCTCCTACCCCAACGGCCCTCCTTCCAAGTCTTTGTACTACCCCAAGGGGAGAAACTGGAAGGACAATGCTACCTTTGACCACTGGCCAATAACAGAGCACGCAAGTACCTGAAATCATGTAGTTTTACTAAAAGAGACTGTTCCAACCATAACTTAACCAATCAAGCAAAGCAAAGGAAACCCCTACACTTGACCTTCCCTTATAAACACTAACTTAGCAAGATAATCAAGGTTACTGCAAACAAGCTTTCACATGTGATGAAGCCAGAGACACTCCTGTAAAAAGCGATGTGATCCCAGGTGTGAACCATCCTGAGTGACACTTGTTTTGTGAGGAATGTGGCCTCCATCACTGAAGCTTTCATTCTGGCCAAAGTATATGCATGTAGATTGGGACAAATATACTCCATACTTAAATGAGCAAGACCACTTGAAAATACTTAAGAACGCTCTTGTGAAAATATCTACATTATGACCTAATAAATAGGAATACACTGGCTGCTCTCTAAGCTGACAAAGAATGGACTTTTGGGATCTGTGCAACTGACCCGTAGTCACCAAGAGAGTTAACAGCAAGTCAAAAATTAATTCCTCCTCCTCCATGCCCCCCTGCCCCAATGATACTGAGAACACAGGGTAATTTTAGGTTAGAGCTCAATTCTAACTCCTCTCCCCACAACTGTTAACAGTGAAACCTATGTAAGGTCAAGGGTGCTAGAAATGCTAATAAGTAGCCAGCAGCTAAAGTGCAGCACTTTAAGAGGTTTCAGGTTATATTAGACTTTAGTTCTGAGATGGAGGAGTAGTAACACTGAGAGATAAGACAAGTTAAAACAACTTTAAAACCAAAAGCAGTGGACATTTATTCCTCAGTTTTTATGAAAGAGTGTAAAGATGCATTTAGAACCTGCTGGCTAAAGAGCATCAGCCATGGCCTTCAGGCTGGCCTGGTTTACAATTACATTATGAAAAGGAGGGGAAAAAAGGTAACTTGCCTAGTTCACACGAAGTATGTTTCTGGCAAACAAAGTTGTTTACAAGTTTCAAACTACATTTTACTAGAGTCAAGGGAAGACTTCAAAAAGCCACATACAGTACAATTTAAAATTGGATGAACATCCTGCAATGTTAGTGCAAAGTAATTATGTCGACTCTCCAATACAAGATTGTGCTCATGTTTCCCAGGTTTGGTCAATGTTGCTCTTTTACAATCACAATCACAGAAGCTTAACTTACCAAACAGCAATGCTTTTGTCTTATGTCCTATGTACCAAGGGAATGTCACAAGGTTTTGGTGAAATGCAGCTTAGTTTCATTAATAAAGCAAATTCATTACTTAGCTTAACAGTCATGTTCCTGGAATACTGCACATGTAAGTTTCATGGAAATGTTCTTAAGCTTATGCCTGTATCTTGTTCGGTAAAATTACTTTCAAGATACTCTTTTTACTATGTAAACCGGAATAGCTTCATGATTTAAAAATGCAACCAGTATAAATGAAAACATTTCATGAGTGGGGGAAAATCCACCACTAATCTCAGCTAGACAAAGTTCTTAAAATCAAAAAGCCTATTCACACAAAATTATATGTAATGACTGTAGTAATCAGTTTATTACACAGATTAATCATTCTTGAACGTACAAGCTCCAGAGGAGCAACTGGGTCTTTAAATATACACAAGTATTTCCATCAAATGAATTTTCACCCTTACATCCAGATAGACCTAAGCAGTTAAAAACATAAGAAAAATAAGAGCTATTAGCTATGTATTAACTGAGAAACCACATACAAACCAATGAATACGTATGGAACAGAGAAAGGGGCTGAGGACGAAGGTTGAAGGGGTGGGAAGATGTAAAAGTGCTGGGAACAAAGCCCATCACACTTTATGTACTAATAGCTCCAATCCATTTAAATGTTGACCAGTTAAACTTAGACCTTAAAATACAGGATGTGGGTAGAGTTTAGTCTGGTTTGTCATAACTTTCACCTACAATGTAGGTCCTTTGGAATAAAATGAATACAGAAACAGCTTCGTGTTCTTCGCCTTGCTTTTCATAACTGTTTTTGAGTTTAAAAGGATTCCACTTAAAAATAATCTCCTACAGGTCAGTGGAACTTTTCTTCCCCACCCAACCACATACCATACCCACCATCCCTCACCTTGCCATTATCCAAATTTAATCAATAAGGAAAGCTTTTAGTCTCACACCTAGGTTACGCCTGGAGAACTGGCTTGTCACACACACACTTCTCTGCTAGGAGGCAATGTTGGTACAGAAGTACAGTATTTCTAGTTTGTTGTTCCAAGTATGTACAACACGCAGCACTGCTGTATCAGGTAAACATGTGCACAGGGGAAGATGAGGCGTGGGCTCATAGAAAGCAGTCAAATGGAAATCAAAAGGACTTTCTCTTTCAGAGTTCCCCTATCTTTATTTGTAGAGGTTATCCGATAATTTCTTTAATTACATCGCATACTTCTGAGTCCATTCCCGAGCTATTCTGTTGTACCTGTATACACAAAGAGAAGTTGGCTTAATATAGGTGAATTAATCACTTAGAAAACAACAGATTTCATTCATTATCCCGTCTAGTAACTTGAGAGGAATAACTCTCAAGCAAAGCCATCTTTCTACCCCAAATTTCTACTAAGCATTCATTTACTCAGTGATAGTGGGAAAAAGCTGTAAAATACAAAACAATGTCCTGTAAATGCTACTTATACAGGATTCTGATTGAAATTTAGCATTTGCTGGCATATCCTTATTCTATACTTGATTTACCTATTTCTAAGAAAGATCTTCAATCCTTGACTAACTTAGAGTTCTTGAAACTATGTAATTCTACAGTATACAGTTCTTGAAATCATATACTAATAGTGATCAAGTTGACATTAACACTCTCCTCTGTAGCATAAAACAACTAGTTCTGGCAGATCTTATTTTAACAACTTGGCTGCTAAAATGAATAGGTTTACTGCCCCAGAACAACATTCTAGTTAGTAAATAAGCAAGGCAAAAGGGTCCACAATTCTTTGATTAAAAAAGGGATTCAAGAAAGTTCTGTTAAATATTATCACCACAATGACTTGGGAAATGCATTTTGATAGGCATTCATGCCCACAATTCTGGATATTGGACAAAATGGTTCTCCAGTCAAAAAAATTTGTGAATCAATTCACAAATAGAAAAATACATGTCTAATATTCTTCTGAATGCAACCCAAAATATATGACTATAGATATCATTCAGACCTAAACACAGATAAAACTAAACCAAGCACCAACACTGTTACAATCCCATCCCTGATAGCTCCATTTAAAAATATCCTGTCTATCTGCCTCTCTAACCTAAGAGCATTTTAAAGGTTCTTAATTCATTTATAGTTTAACTGTAGAAAATTATCCATTCCCTTCCATCTATTTCCTCCTATATTACTGAATGACATAAAAAGTAAAAAAAGATTCAAACACTTTTAGTTACTAGGATATCCTGACTACTCTTTAATAATTTATAGTATAATTCTAAAATATGTAAATTCTTCATCAAATTTTGTTTTTAAAGGAAATTTGGGCTTTCATGTCTTGTGGCAGTGTTTCTCTTTCTTTTTTGATTCTGCCAAATAGTAGAAAATCAATTCCTTTTTCCCACTGATGTACAAATACCTACCTAAGACAAATGGGTTCTTCATGCAAAATGCTTGTACATCAAAGGCAAGCAGAAAGCAGAAAGCTGTTAGAAAATATACTGTAGAAAAGTGTTTCTAGACAGCAGGAGTCATATGAAACAATCAGGGATAAGATCAGCATCATCCACTTTTGGTGATACTTGATACAAATACCCCTCTTTCCTATTCCAGGTGACTATAATTAGGACTTCATTTAAAGTTATTTCTGACCCATACTCAGCCCTTAGGTAAGAAAGATTTGAGACACCAACCTCTCCACCCCAACACGGGTACCTTCCTGCCTGGAAGTCACACTTACTTTTCTCTATCTGTTTTGTAGATCCGCGCAATCTCAGGCACTAAAGGATCATCTGGATTGGGATCACATAACAGAGAACAGATGGACAAGAGTACTGGAATGAAAAAAATGTATAAATTGTAGAAGATTAAAGCAAAGGTTGAAACAAATATGAGATGCCAACACATGAGAAAATTTCTATAATCTCTTTATATTGTAGTGCCTAGCAGCTTTGTAAGCTCTACCCAGCTTCATAGTAACAGTAATCAACAAAGATTCTGATTTCTCTGTGCTTGAACCTCTAAGGAGGCTGGCCCACACTGGTGAAGTGACTTGCCCAATGTCCTTGGTTAGTAATTAAATGTGGAATTAGAATTCAGGTCTTCTAAATCCTAGACCAATAACACTTTTCAGAGCCCATGAAGTTCAATTTTTAGAAGCCCATGTTCAGGGACAGATGGCTTTCAACATTCCAAAGACAACCAACTTCTGAGTGCTCTTAGTCAGAAATGACAACCATGAAATTCAACAATCACTGCTTTCTCAATGCAGGTACTATAATTCAGATGCAATGGATCTGCTTCGTATTTACTTGAAAATAATTCAGTCTAAGAACATTAAAGCCAGTAGTTTACCCCACTTATTACAGAGGATACAACATACTTCTACTAAGGTCTCAATTTCTCTTCAGTGACGATTTACAATCTCATCTAAGCTATTTCCTCATTGACAATCTGGCATGTAGAAGATAAATCTCAAAAGCACAACTTCCTCTGTTCAAATTTGTTGTTAACTTATGCATTCTTTATTGAATGCAAAGAGGCAGCCAAAGCTACTAATTACATTAAATCCAGCGGCCTCTGACATACTGAAATAAATTCCAATCCTTTTATTCTGATGCTAACAGAATTCAGCAATCTTATTTCTTTCCCTAATGTTCTGTAGCAAGAGACAATGATTAATGGGCCCACTTTACTTCCAAAACATCAAACTCAGCAGGAAAAGAATTTATTCATTTTCCTATCAAATCTATTCTACAGAGATCAAGGGCTTCTGGGAGAAAACAAAGTTCACATCCCTTCCTGCTTCGGTTTGTTAACAAAAAAGCTATTTCCTTGCCTTAAGAGTATACGGAAAATAAAAAACATCAGGAAAGATGTTTTCTGACTCTTCATTCCTGTTGCCCACAATTCTGACAGATGGCATTCCCAAAACATCATCTCTTCCCATTGTCAGGTGTATCACCTGATGCCCTCTTCAAGCACAGAACATTCTAACAGCAATTAGGAAAGATTTCATGTATTTCCTGGAAATGACAATAGGGAGTTATAGATGTTTGAATGTTCAGGAAATTATTGACTAAAGAAAGAAGAAACTTGCCTGGCCTATCAAATTGGCAAGAATACAACTTGATTCTTCACCTAAAATTAGACATACTACCAACTTGTATGTGTTAACAATTCCCTCAACTTTCCCAATTAGGCAAGTTCAAAAAGGTAAATTTTAAAGAAATAACTTTTGTGACATTTTTTCCAGGAAAGGAAGGTGGCACCTAGTGAAAAGATTCTTAGAACTCTACTTAGATTCCTTTAATTCACAGACTTATAATGTACCACACCTTCTTTCACTGTAAAGAAATAACTCCTATTTCTACAACCTGAATAGACTCTTCACTGAAGTGACTAAATTTTTACCTTTTTATACATTCTTTGCCAGTATATACATACCTTTGTTAGTGTCATAACCCATAGTCACTTCCAATTCTAAAACATATAATCAAGTGGCTTTATGGCACATGTATCTGCTTCTTTTAAGTTTTCTATATATTTAGGACCCTAACATCTACTTAAATTGGAGAATTTCAGGTCAAAATTATTGCCCTCAAAAACAGACTATGTTAAAGGGATAATTTTTTGTTTTAAACGTTAGACAGTACTTTCCACAAAATAAAATGCTAAAATGTCCAATGCTTGCTTCATTTTTTAAATTAAAGTTATCATTGATATACATTCTTATGAAGGTTTCACAAGAAAAACAATGTGGTTATTATATTCACTCTTATTATCGAATCCCCCCCATGCCCCATTGCAGTCACTGCCCAAGAGTGTAGTAATATGCCACAGTCCCTATTTGTCTTCTCTGAGCTACACTGTCTTCCCCATGACCCCATACATACCATGTGCACCAATCATGATACCCCACAATCCCCTTCTCCCTCCCTCCCCACCCACCCTCCCCCACCCCTCCCCTTTGGTAACCACTAGTCCTTAAAGGGTTAATTAATATCACACACAGGTTTTAGGCTTTTCACGGAACTGCTTGCCTTGACAAAAGGGAATCAAGAGAGTCATTAAAACATTAAACCTAGGTATGCTGATTCAATAAAATTCAAGAAAATGGCACTGCAATTATTTTAAAAGATACCTATCCAGATAGAACATAACAAATCAAATAAACTAACAGCCCTTATGACTGAGAATAATTAAAAAATCAACACCAGGCACAAAAGGGGCAAAAAAACCCTATGTTACCATTCCAGCCATCCAGACCTCCCCACTCCACCCACCCCTGAACGCCACCTCTCTTGATCCCGTTACTAGATTTCTCTCTCTACTGCTCCTTGTTGAAGAGCAACCAGGCCAGAAGTCTCAACAACAGGTATACCTCAACAGCATTTGGTTTTCTTTTTAAAAGACCTTTCACGAGTAGTCCCTGAATTCCAAGGGGGCCTACAAAAAGAAAAAGGGCCACTTATCTGGAAAGCTATTTCAATCATTATTTTAAAAAATGTGGTCCTCTGATTTCTTGTTTCTATTCTTGCTTAGGACCCCAGGAATTTTAATTTAATTCCCCAGGGTTTTTTGTTTCTTTAAAAAATTAATTTGTCAGAGTATACAAGTCTTATCACAGTATAACATTAAATGTTGTAACATGACAAAGTAATCAAAGTCTCCATTAACAGATGAATGGATAAAGAAGACATGGCACATATACACAATGGAATATTATTCAGTCAGAACAAAGAAAAATCCTGCCATTTGCAACAACATGGATAGACCTAGAAGGTAGTATGCTCAGTGAAATAAGCCAGGGGAGAAAGACAAATACCATATGATTTCACTTATTATAAAACAAAACAAAACAAACAAAACAAAATAGCAGTAGACTCATAGACACTGTGAAATGATTGGCGGTTACCATGAAGGACGGGTCGCAGTGGGTGAGGAGGGTGGGGGGGTAATAAAGGGGCACACAAATTATCAGTCATAATCTAAGTTGGTCACGAGGATGGTAGTACATACAGCCAATGATTCAGTAACATGTCCCTATGTTGACAGAGACTAGCTGCACTCGTTGGAATGAGGATTTAATAATGTGGGTAACTGTTGAGCCACAGTGTTATATACTTGAAACCAATATAAGATTGTATATCAACTATACTTCAATAATAAAAAAGGCTGTAACATGACAAATATCCAGCACATTAAATAGTGCCTTTATCTCAGTTTGGGTGCTTACAAAGCACATTAACTTGCACATTTTAATCTTCCTAATAACAATGAAATAGTTATTATTATCATCCTTATTCTACAGATAAAAAAAATCCCTGAAAAATACAGAGGCTAATTTGTCTCAAGCCTTATTTAGTAAGAGGTGGAGCTGAGATCTGAATGAATACAGTCAGTTGGATCCAGAATCTATGTTCTCTACCATGCTGCCTTCTATCTAAATGTACACATTAAAGAAATGATAAAATATAGAAAGTATTTTCATACAACAAATTTCACCAACTACCCAAACTCATTCTAGCTACGTAACATACTTTTCTATACAACTCAAGTCATAATATATACAAATTTTATCTCTCTTCTGCTTTTTTCAAATATATTTTTCCCATTTTTCATATGTGCTGAACTGATTAATTTCTTTCTTTACTGTTGGACCTCTAAGTAATTTCTAATTTTCAGAAATAAATCATGCTGTCAAAAATATACTTGCACACAAAGCTTTTTTTAGCATTTGGGGCTGTTTTCTTAGTACCAGTGAATGAAACAATAATCACTGGGTCAAAGGTCTTAATGATTAAGGTTCTTACCTCTTAATACATACTTGCACACTGGACTATACAAACCTATATTTCTATATGTAGTATGTAAGTACTCATTTCAATGTACCTCAACAGCATTTGGTTTTCTTTTTAAAAGATCTTTGTTAATTAGAAAGGTGAAACATGGTAACTTATTTTAATTTTCACTTCTTTGATTATTTTGTTTATTTCTGTCCACTCTTCTACTGGGATATAGATTTTTTTTTCTCTTCTGATTTATGTGTGTTCTTTGTATTTTAAACATACTAGCCCATTATGTTTGCAGCCTATTTCTTGTAATTTTTTTTGACAATTTTTAATCCACTTGTGATTTCATTTTGGTATGATGTTGAGGGGTTGTACAATTTCAAATTAACACATTAGAAAATGTTTAATTTACCCACACTTGATTCACTGATAAAATAAAATCCCCAATCTATTCATGTAGTTAGGTCTTATTTAGAAGTAGTACTGGATGTTTCACCAAAAACTCAGCAACTAACTTTGTCTATACATTTTCTCACACACACACACACACACACACACACGACTATATACCAAACATTGTTAAGATGCTCCAATAAATCTTGATATCAAATACCCATTCCATTACCTTTTGAAATAGTTAGTGCTGGAGACCACTGTGACCGTAGAATATCAAGACAAATGCTGCCATTACTGTTGATATTTGGATGATAAATTCTTGTTGTAAATGCAACCTATAGAAAAAAGGAAAACTTTTTGTAAATTGGTTTCTTAGTATTGCAGAAAAGCACGTAAAAAAACCAATTGCCATATCCCAATTACCTTAGGTGGTTTGAAGGGGTAATCTGTTGGGAAATGAATTGTCAAGAAAAATACTCCACCCTGATAGGGACTGTCATTCTGTTGATAACAAGAAAACGGTATTAAGTTAAGTGAATTTCATGAACTATTTATTCTAAAATTAATCTGAATACTTACTGGCCCCATTATTGTAGCTTGCCAATGGAACACTGAAAAAGAACAACAGAAAATTACCATGAAGCAGAATCTACATTGTACCCAGACAATAACAACACATCATTCCATCTATTCAAATTCATTTATAAGCAGTATGATGAGTCCTGGGCAGGATGAGGAATCAAAAACAGGTTTGATTTGAGTGTGGAGAGAGAGAGAGAGGGAAAAAAAAGACTAGTTTGTCTAGAACAGTGATAAGGTGTTCCATTAAAAGGTATCTGGGCTAAAACATTCTGAAAGTTAATGTCAGGGAGACAAATTATTTTCAGGGTCCAAAGTTCCACTTTTAAAGAGGTATTTCTTACCTCAAAAAGTAAAAAAGAACCAAAAGATTCCAACTCTTTGATGTATTATATCATTTAAAAAAAATTTTTTAAGGTATGATTGATATACACTCTTATGGTTTCACATGAAAAAACAATGTGGTTACTACATTTACCCATATTATCAAGTCCCCACCCATACTCCAATGCAGTCACTGTCCATCAGTGCAGCAAGATGCCACAGATCCACTATGTGCCTTCTCTGTGCTACACTGTTCTCTGCATGATCCCCCACACCATGTGTACTAAACATAATACCCTTCAATCTCCTTCTCCCCCGCCCGCCCACCCTCCGACACCGCCCCCCTTTGATAACCACTAGTTCTTGGAGTCTCTGGGTCTGCTATTTTGTTTTGCTTCAAGGTTATATTCCACAAATGAGGGAAATCATCTGGCATTTGTCTTTCTCCGCCTGGCTTTTTTCACTGAGCATAATGTCCTCCAGCTCCATCCATGTTGTTGCAAATGGTAAGATTACTTTCTTTCTTATGGCCGAATAGTATTCCATTGTGTATATGTACCACATCTTCTTTATCCATTCATCTACTGATGGACACTTAGGTTGCTTCCATATCTTGGCTATTGTAGAAGTACTGCGATAAACATACGGGTGCATATGTCTTTTTTAATCTGAGAAGTTGTATTCTTTGGGTAAATTCCAAGGAGTGGGATTCCTGGGTCAAATGGTATTTCTATTTTTAGTTTTTTGAGGAACCTCCATATTGCTTTCCACAATGATCGAACTAGCTTACATTCCCACCAGCAGTGTAGGAGGGTTCCCCTTTCTCCGCATCCTCACCAGCAATCGTTCTAGTTTTTTCGATGTTGGCCGTCCTTACTGGTATGATGTCATATCTCATTGTGGTCTTAATTTGCATTTCCCTGATGATTAGTGATGTGGAGCATCTTTTCATGTGTCTGTTGGTCACCTGAATTTCTTCTTTGGAGAACTGTCTCTTCATATCCTCTGCCTATCTATTAATCAGGTTATTTGCTTTTTAGGTGTTGAGGCACGTAAGTTCTTTATATATTTTGGATGTTAACCCCTTGTCAGATATGTCGTTTACAAATATTCTCCCATATTGTAGGATGCCTTTTTGTTCTGTTGATGGTGTCCTTTTGATGTATTGCATCATTTCCCCAACACAGTTACATAGATATATACTTCTTTCGTAATACTGCTATAGAGAGTTCAAAGTCAAAGTAGGTAATACTCAAATTAGGAAACAAAAAAAAAAATTTCTAAAATGTCTTAAGTGTATGTTCTTTAGAAGTACTGATTCTTCAAAAACAACTGAGAGATAAATACTATGACTCTTGTTAAAATGATCTAGAATCTATATATAGTACAGAAGAGAAAGACAAACTGCTAAACTATAAACACATTAAAATGAATTTAGTTGACAAAAGCATTTGAAGACCTACCACTTAAATCTCTGTAAGAATACTTACAGAGAATCATTGACTTAGCCATCATCCCCACCCCTCAACCCCTTGGAACTCTCTTACAAAAAGGAGGGAAGATGGTAGTGAAAGAATATTTAACCTGCCTCAAATTACAATGGTTTCATAATCAGTTCAAGAATCACTACAGGTTCCCAGTAGAAAGAACTCCAAATATAATTACTGGGTGAAATACTTGGACATAGCATAACACACTGCTATATTTTATATGAACATTTATTTCAAAAATCTTTAAGGATCAATCTTAGGAGCTATTCGAAATAAAAATTCATGATACTGTATTTAAAATTTTTGATTGTCCAAAAACAAACTTAAACAACAAATAAAACCTCCCACTACCACCTCGGTTTGATGCTGTCAAACCAAATTACACAAACTGAAAGCTACAATTTCTTTTATGAGAGTTTAAATGTGAAGTTCACAGCTCAATGATTACTCTTTAGTACCCTCAAGGATGAAAAGTCTTTTGAAGCTAAAAGGGATAGAATATTTGTTATAGTTGGAGATTGATTCTCAGGAGACCTACATTTGAATTCAAGTATTGATCTCTAGAGAGTCAAGTCACAGTCACCAAGTGTTCAAAACTAAAGAAAACAAAGCAGATCATATAACCAACAAGTCTTTGGCTTATTTCTCCTTTCAGGAAGTATACTACTACTTCCTGCTTACCAGCTCTTTGCAGAAAAATGGGAAAAAATTTATTGGGGCAGTAAAATCTGGATATTTAAAAATAAAGCATTTTATTACTAAATTTATTATTAAATATATATTATTTAAATATAAAATAAAGACCACTTTATTCTTACATTAAAAACCAGTAACATTTGGTACTGAGAGATTTGAGGGCTAAGATAGTCATAAGGAGCTCAAACAGTTTCATTTTGGCCAACAATTTCTTTCTTCCTAAGATTAAATTCTGCTTCATTGTAACAAAAAATGATCAAAGTGCATTTAGCCATCCAATTACTTTGCTTTATCCTTATGTGGTTTATCACAAGACCTGATCAGTCTTCAGGTCTTGACAGTAATCATCCTCAAATGTTCTCAAATATCCACAAGATTTTTTTTTTTGGTATCATTAATCTACAATTACATGAGGATACACAAGATTTTAAAGTATATCAATAAACTCCATCTAGATGACCAATTTTAACAATGTAAGGAAGTTATTCTGCCCTTAAGGAGATTTTCCTTATTCTCTTTCAGAAGGTAGGTACTGCTGAGTTTAGTAGCATGTGACTCAAAGTTGAATAGGAAGGTCAGGAATTAAGGGAGAGGTTATTCTTTTTTAAATAGCTTTGAGAGAGAATGTACATACAACATAAAGTGTACAATGATGTTTATTAACATGTTCACAGTTGTGCACCCATCACCATAAATTTTTAGAACATTTTTATCACCCCAAAAACAAATCCATATCCATGAGCAGTCACTCCCCATTCCCTGCAACTCTCCAGGCCTATGCAATCATTACCTACTTTGTCTCTAAGCATTTGCCTATTCTGGACATTTCATATAAATGGAATTATACACTCCGTGGCCTTTTGCATCTGGCTTCTTTCACTCAGCATAATGCAATGTTTTTAAGGTTCATCCATGTTGTAGTATGTATCAGTTCTTTGTTCCTATTATTACTGTATAATATTCCACTGTATAGATATACCACATTTTATTTCTCCTTTCATCAGCTGGTGGGCAGTTTTGGTTGTTTACACATTTTCGCTGTTATAAATAATGCTTCTATGAATATTGACACAGAAGTTTTTGTGTGGATGTTTTTCTCTTGTATATATACCTAAGAGTGAATTCACTGACCATAAGGTAACTATATTTAACTTCTTGAGGAACCACCAGACTGCTTTTCAAATTCCTTCTTTTACATTCCTACCAAAAATGTAAGAAGGTTCCAATTTCTTCACATCCTCGACTGTTGTTGTTAATTGATTTTTTGATTCCAGCCATCCTAGTGGATATAAAATGGTATCATTATGGTTTTTTGTTAATTTTTTGATTCTAGCCATCCTAGTGGGTGTAAAGTGGTATCTCATTATGGTTTTGATTTGCATTTCCTTGAGGACTATCATGTTGAACATCTTTCATGTGCTTATTGGCCATTTGTCCATCTTCTTTGGAGAAGTCTATTCAGATCCTTTGCTCGTTTTAAAACTGGGTTATTCATCCTCATATTGCTGAGTTACAAAGGTTTTTTATTTTTATTTTGGTATCATTAATATACAATTACATGAGCAACATTGTGGTTACTAGATTCCCCCCATTATCAAGTCCCCACCACATACCCCATCACTGTCTATCAGCGTAGTAAGATGCTAAAGAGTCACTACTTGCCTTCTCTGTGCTGTACTGCCTTCCCTGTGCCCCCTCTACATTATGTGTGCTAATCATAATGCCCCTTATTCCCCTTCTCCCTCCCTTCACACCCCACCCCCGAGTCACTTTCCCTTTGGCAATTGTTAGTCCATTCTTGGGTTCTGTGAGTCTGCTGCTTTTTTGTTCCTTCAGTTTTTGCTTTGTTCTTATGCTCCACAGATGAGTGAAATTATTTGATACTTGTCTTTCTCTGCTTGGCTTATTTCACTGAGCATAATACCCTCTAGCTCCATCCATGTTGTTGCAAATGGGAAGATTTGTTTTCTTCTTATGGCTGAATAATATTCCATTGTGTGTATGTACCACATATTCTTTATCCATTCATCTACTGATGGACATTTAGGTTGCTTCCATTTCTTGGCTATTGTAAATAGTGCTGTGATAAACATAGGGGTGCATATGTCTTTTTCAAACTGCGCTTCTGCATTCTTAGGGTAAATTCCAAGGAGTGGAATTCCCGGGTCAAATGGTATTTCTATTTTTAATTTTTTGAGGAACCTCCATATTGCTTTTCACAATGGTTGAACTATTTTACATTCCCACCAGCAGTGTAGGAGGGTTCCCCTTTTTCCACATCCTCGCCAGCATTTGTTGTTCTTAGTCTTTTCACAAAGGGTTTTTTTTAAAGTACACTTTTGGATAAATATTCATCAGGTATCTGACTTGCAAAAATCTTTCCCATTCTGTTTTTTTCACTTTGTTGATAATACCATTTGCAGCACCTAAATTTTAAATTTTGATGAAGGCTAATTTATCTATTTTTTTCTTTTATTGCTTATGCTTTAGGGGAGTCTTATTTACTATCCAGCCTAACAACTTTCCTATACGAGAAAGAAATGTGATAGTAACAACTATGGTAGAAGCAAGGGCAAATTATTTTAGCACAACAGAGAACTTCAAAAATGAAATCTAATCCTCAGACTTCAAACACTTTTAAAGATCAGCCACTCTCAACTTTGAGGAATTTACCAGAAATAAAACTGCTTTTTCAATGAAAAGATCACAGGATGCAGGTGGACTATATGACACTATGGAATCACAAAACTAGAATCAGAAAACTTGAGACTGAGTCCACTTTGGGAACCTTCACAAGTCTCTCACTAAATTCTTCTCTAAAATAGCTTACAATTTCTACTCCACTCACTAAAAGAATTGTTGTGGTGCTTAAATGAGATACTGTATAGGTATGTGGCCTGTCCTATTTAGTGTCTCATAGTTACTTCTACTGGACAGGTCTGAATATAATCATGTAAACTGAATTTTTCATCACATTTAGTCAGTCTTATGATTTATAATATCTGTTTATTTGTAAAGCAATACTCGTGAAAGGGCCTCACTTTGATTCTTAAGGATTTAGCAAACAAAAAACAAAACACACACATACAAACCCAAAACAAACACAAATCTTAGAAATCACGAAAAAATATTTTAATTTAAGCTAATATAACCTCATATTTATGTTTTGTCTTCTTATTCTATATACTTCTCTTACACAAATGTTTCCAAGTATCCTCACTTTTTCCTATTCGCTAAATGTTATATTTTTTTGTGAATTAGTTTTGTGTCATAAAGCAAAGCCTTGTTCAAATATCCTCCCTTTAAAAAAGGCTAGATGATGGCATAAAGGGGAAAAGCTGTGTTGGGACGCAGTAGAACAAAAGGAAAATTATTATACAACATGTGCAATAAGATCTAATTATTTTAGACAGGCTTAAGCAGATAAATTGGACATTAAAAATGAACAAATTGAAACTGTCTTCTCAAGTATAAGCCAGCAGAAAGACAGACATCCCATAATCTTTAGCATTATTTTACTTAAAGAACAAAAGCTAGTTGTAGGTAAAAGCTCAAATATTTTACCCCAGGAAAATACTCAGAAGGGATGAAGGATTTAGCAAACAAAAAGGCCAATGTACAAAGAAGCCAGAACAACTATAGAGACACTATCTGGCTGAAGAGGTTCAAAATGTAATGAACAATACAGAACATGGTAGGATAGGTACAAAACTAAATCTTTCATGGGAAAGTAAGGGGTAAACACTGCCTGTTCCCTACAACATAATTACCTCTTCATACAAAATAACCTTAAGAGATATACATTAATCAGTCCCAGAGTTTCTCAAAGGCAGACTATTATACTGTTTTACTCCATCATTCCTTTTAAACACTTACTATCATCTCCAACGGGACCTGCTGAACACTGTGCTGGGGGGTCTCGTGCCAGGTCATTCAATTCCTTAAGAAAGGAGACAAGAAAAGAAATGTATTCAACATAAATGAAACTTTTTCCATTAATAGAATTTTTATTGTTATTATTCTCTGTCCCTCCACTAAAGCTCGTTGAGAAGCACTCCTTCAAAGTCAGAGAAGGGTAGATTCATGGATCTTTCAAGTATTTTGGATTCTTGAATGCAAATAAATGTATGTTTAAAAGAAGTGGGTCATTTTTGCTTTGTTCAGAGTTTAGTAGGTAAATGCAAGGAAGATCATCATTATGTACTAAAGAGCCACAAAAGCTGTTCTAAATAAAAATTGCTTAGTTTTCAAAAAAGACTCAAGGCCAGTTTTTGCACTGCAAAAACTATTAGGTTATCTTGGGACAATCTCTTAAAATCATAAATGTTCCAAATTAAATGGTACCATCTGGTAAGATGTTGATGTTTTCAGCTGATATGTACTACCAGGGTTATAAAAGTAGTAGAAGATACTTTAAAGAGGATATATTAAAAAGGCTGGCTGACATAATAAAACCAATCATAAAGTTTTATAATCAGAGACACATCTACCTGTAGTAATGCTCTACAACCAGATGCCAGTTTCCTAGCTATTTTAACAGAAGAGCCCACAAACTTTGAGATTTGTTCTGGGTGGGGATACCTGAAAAACAAGGCAGGAACTCACACTATATTCCTCTTCCCTTTGCTTTGGTATGTGAGGTAAAAACAAGCTCTGGGGAAGGACTAGTGTTTGATTACATTTTAAAACCACAATAATAAAAACAGTAAAATCTACTATTTTTAAAGTACAGTAACTATTTTTAATTCTATTAAGTTATACCAAAGTTATTATTTGAAAGAGAAAGCATCATATGTGATGGCCATATGATCTGACAATGTAGATATAACCATAAAAACAGGAGAACAGGGATAGCATTTGCTAAGAAAACTCTTAAATCTGTTTTCAGTAATCATAATTGGAGGTGATATTACTGGTTATTCTAAGACTAGTAACAAAGCAAATGAGTAATTATGAAATTTTTAAAAGTATGATTTAAATAATCTACAAAATACTATATACTTTTTAATTTGCAGCACATACTGATTTAAGTCCCTTCCTTACTCAACCAGTCATTTTGATACACCAATTATTCTGTTTTATCCTATCTGTAAGCACTGGGGTATGTCATCTGTACTTCAATATAAACAATTTAAAAATAAAATAGTATTCATGATTTCTTTAAAGTGCTGGGATTGAGATAAAGATTTAACAATATTTACTTCTTCAAGTATCTCAATTTTTGGATTTTTATCACTCTACAACAGAGATTTCTTGCCCATCTCAAGAAAAAAATAACCTACTGTACAGTTCCCATTCCCAAATGTTGTCTGTAACACAGGTCAATGCAACTAAGAATGCTTATTTGATTTAAAACACAAAAATTATCTATTTTTTTTTACTGATATAGCAAGAGGTTGCTATTAAAATATAGTATGATTGAATAAGCTATTTTGAAGTCTGTGGTATTCATTAAAGATAATTTTGTGATTTATCCTTAATACTTTCCTCTTTTCAAATTAATTTTCAAAAAGCTCTTTGCTTTTTTCCATGCTGAATGACATCATGCTTTAACATACAGAACTAAGATTTATCTTAGCTGAATATAAGATCCTTCAGTCTTATATTTCATGAGCTAGCCTGGTAATTTAAAAAAACCTAACCTGAACTTAGGCTAGCAGACATTTAACACACTATTCAATACTTTCTTGGTTCAAGGCACTGATATGGAGAATCTCTAAAGCATAATGCTAAGTGAAAAGAAGTCAGACATAAAAAGACTACATTCAGTACAATTCCACTGATACAACTTCCTAAAAAATGCAAAGTTCCAGTAATAGAAAGGAGCTCAATAATTCCAGGGACTGGTAGGAGTTAGAGACTGACTACAAAGGGACATGAAGAAATTTTGGAGGATGACATAAATGTTCTCTATCATCATTTGGTAGTGATTATACAACTGTGTATATATTTATCAAAAAAACTATACTAAGATTTGTTGAATTTTATTGTATAGAATAATATCTTAAAGTTGTTTATTTTAAAAAGCATATATTTAGCCATCTTTGTGTATGCATAACATATCTCTGAAGAATACAAAAGGAATTAGTTAACAGTACTTGCCTTCTGGAAGTAAAGTTTGCTTAGGGTGAGATGGGAACTGTTTATGTATTCCTTTCATACCTTTGAAATTTTGTAACAAGTGTATTTATTGCTTATTTGAAAAATAAAATTACCAGTTCTGACTGTATATCTGGAACTAAAATAAAATAGCTACTAAAAGTTGTAACCATCTGGAGGGCAATCAAAATAGTAAAAACCCAGTTAGACTGGATAAATGAGAAGCTACAAAATCTGATATCTTGGCATCAAAGATGAAAACTGAAGTTGAATCTTAGTATTTAATAAAGGCACTGATCTAGACAGATCACTTGGCAGAAAAAAAATGATATATCAAGCTGTTTTTTAACAGTTGGCTTTATACTTGGCTTTATACCTATACATTAATTTCTTTAATTTTTTACTCTAAGTTAAACAGTATTCATATTGTCTTGTATATCATATACCAAATATACATCACTGGGATTGAGATGAGGCTTGGACAAAACCCAACACCAAGGAATTTATTAAAAAACTTCTTTTCTGTAAAAAGAGCAATAGAGAAATAAAAATATAAAAGTATACATAATTAAATTTAGAAAAAAGGAGGTAAGTTTGATAGTTAAGGTAGAGGATCCTCAATGTCTAAAAATATTTTATATTCTAACTTTATTTGAAATCTAAAAAAAGGTATTAAAATAAAGTTCTTACTGTGGGAGCAAACTATAGATTTTAGCAAATAGTTCTCAATTTAAAGATTTTCTTTGATGCTGTATATTCCCCTTGTTTGTAGGTATATAGCAGAACTAGTATTTTTTGAAGATTAAGGGTTATGAAAAATTTTGATTTTCTGTACTTTTCTGAAGTGTTTCTTGTTAGTTCAAATAGTCCTGAAACCTTTATACCAATTAATGTAATTATTTCAAGTAAGGTTTAATTCACTATGGACTTTAACATTCATTTAACATTCATTTCCTACTACTATCTTTTGGGCTCAGGATAATAACAATGTCTTATATTATTTCTTAAGAAGTATTTTCCATAGGATTAGTATTTAAAAGAGACCACTATTAAATAAAATAGAACAGTAAAACCTCTGAAAGCCTCATATTTCTCTATCAAAGCACTATAGCAAAAAGAAAGAAACCTTCCTAACTCTGAAAGGAGGGGGTCCTGAATGGGATATGTAGATTTTCCTTTCACTGTATATACCTAAGGACTCAAGTTGGGCCATTAGTTGGTAAAAATTAATGTTTCTATTAGTTATTTCAAAATAACCCTTTCCCCCAACTAACAATGATGAAACAAAATACAGATGGCATAGAATACAGATTCATTTTACCATTTTAGTTCTCACCCTATAGTATAAGATGAAAGGAACAAATAGGAAAATGAGAGGTTGTAGAAAAGTGGCTTAAAGTAAAGTTTTAATAGTTCTGAATATAGCTATACAAATCAAAGATCTTTGAAGATGATGATCAGGATATGAGAATATTTAAGCAGAGATTAATATTCACAAAATTATAATTTCAAAGTCAGAAAAGATAATCTAGACCAATTCCCAATTCTGTAACAAAACAAGATACAAACTAACTCAGTGAAGATAGGTTATTACTAGTAATCAGCAGAGTAAGGATGTGGTGTCCTTACTGGCACATGCTTCTCTATCTTTGAAGATGATGATCAGGATATGAGAATATTTAAGCAGAGATTAATATTCACAAAATTATAATTTCAAAGTCAGAAAAGATAATCTAGACCAATTCCCAATTCTGTAACAAAACAAGATACAAACTAACTCAGTGAAGATAGGTTATTACTAGTAATCAGCAGAGTAAGGATGTGGTGTCCTTACTGGCACATGCTTCTCTAATCTAGATCTAAAACATTAGAGATGCGCAAGTTAGAATGTCTGAGAATCTACATGCTGCCCAGGAAATTCAGGTGAACCTTCTTAAAGATGATTGAACTGCAAAGAAAGGGCAGTAGTTCTTAAAACTGAGATCCTGACACCGAAGCATCAGTTTCACAAGGAAACTTACTTAGAAATGCTAATCCTCATGCTCCAACCAGACCTACTCAATCAGTCCTAGAGTGTAGCCCAACATGTTTTTTAAACAAGCCCCCCAGGAAATTAGGATGCATACTAAATGTCAATTACCTTTATGATCAACAAATTAATCATCAGAGACAAAAGGCAATGCTAGAAAACACTACCAGCAAGATTGTAGGGGAAGGGAAGGTACAGGGCACAATAGCAGCACTAAATGAAGATATCAAGAAAGGGGTGAGACTTAGAAAAATAAGATGTTTCACATTTTCAAGACACACTGAAGGGAAGCAGTCTATTACCATAGTACTGCATTCTCCTAACCCCACTATTTTACCAGTTGGAACAGGGTTAACTTAATTTTTATTACCCACTTATGTGTTCAGCATAATACTTGAAGCTAACAATTGAAAATAATTGCTAGAGTATTTAAAATTACAAATATTTTAAACTTGAGAAATATTAAGTCATAGTTATCCTAGATGAATTTGAGAAAGAGTGTAATTTCTGACAATATCAAATTATAAAATCTCAAATTATCTGGTACTTATATACTTAGTCACTTGGCACTCTCAAATATTTTCTATTTCTCTCTTAATAATGCTGCCCTCTATTATAAAGATAAATTGATAAAAACATGTATTAGTATCAATCTTTCCCTGAACTGAGTCTAAGCAGTAGTATCCTTATTTGAGTTTAGTCTATACTCCCTTAAAAATTTTACATCAATTAAAAGTATAGAAAATGCTTACCACAAAACAACCCAGCTTTGCCAAATCTTAACATTGCCATATTAATACTGAGTATCCTCC